TTCATCAAATGCTGGGGTCATTTCATAGAAAAAGAGGTGCAGGAGCTCATTAGCATAACTAATTAGTGTAACTTATTTGCATATGCCACACCCCCTGACATCACCAGAAGTGTGTCAGAAGGCAACACCCACTGCTCAGGCGCCACTGGACTGTTTTGGATTGCTAGCTATTGGGGGGGGGACGTGCAGATCTGTCCTCGCAGAGGAGGGAGAGCTTGTACCTGAATAAAACTTGGTCTTAAAGGTGAACTTACCTGGCTGCTTCTTGCTCTGACTGAGGGCTGCTGGGAGCAGGGGGTGGGGCTTGTTGCATGTGCCCACCCCCTGGGCTCTTTACTGCCGGAGCTCCGCTCCTGTGCGCTCCTGCAGGAAATGACCCCTGATCAAATGAAAAGGTACAGAAGAGAGGAAATTTTCAGGAAGCAGCATGTACGAGAGACTATAGCCAGGGGCAGTCAAACCTTTGGACAAATGAGACTATGTAGTCTGGGGCACCCTGTCACTTGTAGGGTATTCTGCAGGTTACATAGGATGGGAGCTGGGGAGAGAAAGAAAGTGGAGTATGTCTCAAGAGAGAAACTGGAAGTGAAGGAACAGAGGAAAAAATAATATGAAACCTGGAAGCTCCCAAAAGAAGGTGACATGGATCTCAATAGCGAAAAGCTGTTTTGTGTTCGAGTGCCAGAACTGGGTGTCATGACAGAGGCTTCCTTGCAGACACTCAAATACCTAAGACCTGTTGTTTGCATCTACCCACCATCCCTGTCAGTGTTGCACAACTGCAACAATTCCAAAACCAATGTAGGTTACAAATATAGGAAAGCATCTGGGATTTCTCCCCTTTCCTGCTTTTGAAGTATTAATTCAGTGCAATTAAATCAGACCAAATTTGAGCCTTGCTGTTACAATACAGTGTAAAGTCTGTTGTGAATAATATTCCTCTGCTGGAAATAGACATTAATTGCATCCAGAACAGAAAATGATCAGTGAAGGGCAGCAAATCGGGGATTTTGACCGTTAATCTGCTTTGTGGAACTCAATATAGAAGCTGATGCTTTAGTTTAGAAAGGAAAATTCAGAGGGATTACAGAAACCAGTTGAAGGGCTGATGAATTTTTTATTATTAAAAATAAAATGTTTAGTCTTCCCTTATTTCTGCTAAAATCATTTTAATGTTAAAAACATTAATGTAGAATTTCTGAGTGGGGGCTTTCACTGAAAATCTTACACTATTCTATAATGAATATTAGCTGGCCACAGTCAAAGATGTTAATTTAGTGGGCAGGTTGTCTATTCAGACATCAGGTTGCTCTTCTGTAGCTTGTGTACATTTTAATGGGGCATGTGCAGGAAACCTTCCAGTAATATCAAACTTGCTGCTTCTCAGATAATGTCTATGAGAGCTTAGTTGAATGCATTCATTGCACTGGCTTACAATTTTGAGACAGAGCTATACTGAGCCAGTTTGGTGTGGTGTTCAAGTGTGCGGACTCTAATCTGGGAGAACCGGGTTTGATTCCCCACTCCTCCACTTGCACCTGCTGATGTGACCTTGGGTCAGTCACAAGCTCTGGCACAGCTGTTCCTGAAAAAGCAGTTTGTGTCAGAGTTCTCTCAGTCCCACCCACCTCACAGGGTGTCTGTTTTGGGGAGGGGAAGGGAGTTTGTAAGCCGCTCTAAGACTCCAAGTGAAGGGCGGGATATAAATCCAATTTATGCGGCAAGGCCAACTGTTAGGTGCCAAAGGGGGAAAAAATACATTATGCATGGGAGATGCACAAGACAATACAATTAGTGTTTTAATGAATAGTGTGGGAATAGACTATATATTGTTTTCCCTTGGCCTTTACTAGGAAATGTGAATTGTGAGTTCTATGTTCAGGAACCTAATCCCAGGCATGTGTGGGTGTGATATGGATCAAGACTATGCACATGAGGAGAAGAGGTCTAAGTCTACCTCATCAGTGTTGTGTTCCCAACTTGAAATGGCCCTTATAGGGGCTTGCTTTATGGCCCAGAAAACCAGAAGTGCGAAGATTCTTTGCAAAAGAACAAGGGAATGTTTCCTTTTCCTTTCCCAGTATTTAATTAATATTATAGCAGAATGTCAGCAACAGGAATCCGATGCTGGTAAGTCTTACAGAAGCATGCTGTTAGTAAGTGTTTATATTGATTCAGGATGATTCTTGAGTGATTGCTATAGCTGGCTGCATGTTCATTGCCCCCCCAGGTGGAATAACGAGACAGACAACAGTTTGGAAGTAAACAAGGGCCACTTTATTAACTATTTAACATAACATTGCGGCAAGGAACCAGCTAAGCGTGCACGGAACAGGCAAGGCAGCTGTCACTCCCCTGACCAACCTCCTTGCCCTTTTCTCAGGTGGGTCACCCAGCTCCGGTCTTGAGACATTGGCTGGCTCGCAACTGGCAGCCCAGCAAACTGGTTGCCACCTAGGAACACCTACGCCTGAAGCCTTCCAACTTATAGAAAGGAGCATACCCTAAGAGGTTCCCAGAGGAGGTGATCACCATTCCCCACCCTGGACCTGAAAATCCGAAGGCAGTTCCTGATGACCCCCTGTTCCCTAACGGGGAAAATTCCGTAAGGTGCTCACTGGTTCTGGTTTCTTGCCTGCACCAACCTGCCACAGCCAAGACCAAGCCTCTGCTTTGGTCTTTGCTCCCACTAAAAGGCCAAGGCTGAGCTAATCCCTTGCCGCAAGTCCTACAAAAAGAACCCGTTGCCCTTGTCAGATAAATGCACCCCGTAAGCCCTATACAGGTCTTGGAACTCAACCCGTATGGGGTGTGGCAGAAATTGCCCCACCCTCTATAGCCTTTCTCCTCTGGCAAGTCAAAGCAGTATTGAGAAATTGTGAAATTAGTAAACTAAGTTTTTAAGTAGCTCTGCATTGTGGGACACAAGTAGCGGTAGAGTAAGGAGCTGTTATGGAAGTCAGTAAATTATTTCATCATTATAAAAACCTTCCCTTATGAAATAGTTTATATTTCATGAAATCCACCTTTTTCGTTTCTACTCTTCTAGGTGAAAGTTAATGTTCATTGCATTCAGTTATCAGTTAGGAAAGCTCTAGCTTTAAAAGAGAAACTTTTAAATCTTGTGATCTTTAAAGAAAAATAAGGTTTAAAAAATGGCTAGAAGATATTTGATATCCCCTCCCCCATGGCTGCCTCGAAAAAACTTACCTCTCTGAATTTTATTTTCAGGTATGGCAATAACACCCGTAGCTATGTGGTACGAGTTGGAGACTACCACACATTGGTGCCTGAGGAATATGAGGAAGAAATTGGAGTGCAAGAGATTACACTGCATAAGGAATATAGGCCTGATAGCAGTGACTATGACATTGCACTAGTGAGGCTGCAAGGACCTGAGGAACAGTGTGCTAGGTTCAGCACTCATGTCTTGCCTGCCTGCTTGCCACTCAGGCGAGAGAGGCCACAGAAAACAGCTCCAAATTGCTATATCACTGGTTGGGGTGACACAGGTAAGATTTGTTTTTATAAGTAGAGACCCAAACTTTCCTTATCAAAGTGATTTAGACTACTAGCTAAGTCACAATTATTTAAATAATTGTGCAGCTCATGTACTACTAAAGTTTTGTTTATATTGTATCACTTACTGTGGGACCCACTGTAGAGAATGTTCCATTTTGGATTTATGTGTATGTACAAGTACGTTCCTGTGAATTTTAGAACATGACAAAAACTTGGTCTTTTACTGGTGGCCAGAGAGTGTACATTAATAGGGGCAGATGGAGAAAGCATGACCATCTCCATCTCTCTTTATGATACACTGGAGAGTTTCTAACCTTCTATTCAACTTCTTTAGTGCTGAGCAAATTACCTACCTACTTATAGACTTCTCTCCCTCATTGATTTCAAAATGAGAAATCTTAACTTTCATGGAGGCAGCAGCAGTTTACTCTGGCATTGTTTCATTGTCACACTGTCTATACTAAAGGAGTTGTTGGTTATTAGTAGCAGCATTTTAAATGCTGCTTTGGACAGATATCATTGCTACAAGGCTACATGACTTGGATCCAGAGTTGTCTTCTGCCTGCAGCCGGGTAGTTTTTTTTAACAATTCCACCATTCCATTACAGACCATCATAGCACCCTATACTATACTAGAGGTTCTTCAAACCACTAGGAACAGCATTTTAGGGAGCACAATGGGCATGCAGTACGAAGGGGAAGTAGGGAAGATATTTTCCTGATTGTAATTTCGATACAACTTAAGGTGTGCATGGTGATAATGCCAGAAGCAAAGTAAGGGTGGCATCACACACGGTATCGAAATGGGAAGTGAAACTGAATCATACTTTTTTCAGTGTGACCTGCAGGTGTAGCTAATGCACTTCACCTCTGTAGATAGTTGAATTGTTCCATTACACATTATTGGGAAGTACTTTTATTTTCTGTCTTTCCTTGTAATTTGCAGAGCCACTCTTAGTTTGACAGAGTTTGAGAATGCTGCACTTTGGCAACACTGATTTTGATCCTGAAGGGTTATTAAGTGATTATGTCTGAAAAAGCAGAGTAACATTGGGGAGGCTGATTTCTTTTGAAGTTCACTTTGGATACTAGTATTTCTCTTATGATGTAATTGACGCATGCCTCCCTTACTTTATTGGTTCTCATACTTGCTTACTTATGAGCAAATCTGTCTCTTATGCATACTCTCATGTTCAGTGTTCAGCATACCTTTAAAATCTGGGATAAAAGACGCTCTACCCTTGTTATACAAACTCGCTACTAGCAAAATTACATTATCAGGAGGGGCTTGGCTTACTGTAGTACTTTCAGTTTAGCATTTCCAACTCAAAGAATAGTTGAAAACGTCTACATTTTTGTTAAATACGCCGAAGGATATTAAATTTCAAATCTTGCCACTTTTCAAGAAAATACCAACTTTAAAGTTATTCAGATTTGTTGCATTGCTTTGAGAGCCAGTTTGGTGTAGTGGTTAAGAGCAACAGACTCTAATCTGGACTGGAGAACCAGGTTTGATTCCCCACTCCTCCCCATGCAGCTGCTGGGTGACTGTGGGTCATCAAAGTTCTCTGAGAGCTGTTCTCTCATTGCTCTCAGCCCCACCTACCTAACAGGGTGTCTGTTGTGCAGAGGGGAAGGGAAGATTGTAAGCCGCTCTGAGACGAGTGAAGGGCGGGGTATAAATCCAATATTTTCTGTTCTTTGTCAGATGACTTTATACTTTTTACTTTAAAAAATAGTTTTGGCTGCCATCCTATAGACTTGAGCATAAGCTCCACTGAACATAATAAAGCTTATGTCTGAGTAAATGTGGGATCAGGAAATCTATACACCTTCACATATTTAATGTGTCAACTTATGGTAAAGGTGAAAGAATATGAGCAAGAAAAAATTGGGACTCCAGCCTCCTTTACCATCTAATGGGACACACTATATTTTTTTTGGGGGGGGGGGGGGAGTACAGAAACAGAGAAGGAATCCAAAACTTTGGTCCAGAACAACTGATTCGGTAGTATTACAGGAAATGAAGGCTAGTGTAATGAATGGTGGTAGATGTACAGTTGACTTTACAAAGTGATGTATCATTTTAAATACTAACAGCCCAACAGGATTTGAATTGCAGGTCTGTGTTCTACGCACATAACGTTAATTCTACTGTTTCCCCCTTCCAGGAAGATCTTACTCAAGAACATTACAGCAAGCTGCTATCCCCCTGCTTCCCAAAAGGATCTGTGAAGAAAGGTATCGGGCACGGTTCACAGGGAGGATGCTATGTGCTGGTAGCCTTCAGGAGCAAAAACGTGTGGACAGTTGCCAGGGAGACAGTGGTGGACCACTGATATGTGAACGCCCAGGAGAAAGCTGGGTGGTATATGGGGTAACCTCCTGGGGTTATGGCTGTGGAGTCAAAGACTCTCCAGGTGTCTATACCAAAGTTTCTTCTTTTGTACCCTGGATACGAAGTGTGACCAAACTATGACCACCCCCCTGGGGTGGGTGGGTACTTTTTGTGTGCATACTCCTTTTTGGAAATTGAAACAGGTCACCACAATGTAATGCTGACCTGTGTCCGTTACATTGAAAAGGGGCAGAGAAGAGATTGTACTTCTCTAATGACTTCCTATAGATGAAGCTACAAAGCAGCACAGATCAGTTGCAAATTCTGTACACAACAAATTTTCATGACTGCAAGGTGGAGTAATATACAAACCTTTTTTGGACAGACGGTAAAGTGGTCCTACCACTTTATTGCAATGGTAAAATTAATAGCTGTGATATTTGTCACTGTTCAGTGGGACCCCTGGAGGCTTCAAATACATTTATCAAACTTCTAAAAAGTTGATTTTTTTAAACATAGTACTTACATTGAGACCCACTATGTGTTGTCTTCAGACACACTAAACTCCACATGGATCACAATAATCATAAAGACTGATACAATACATCCTTGAACAAGTAGTTCTTGTACTCAGATAGGTACTACCTGATTCTTATTTCACTACCTTAAAAGTTTTAAGCTTGCTCCCACTGAATCTTGAAGTGGTAGTTTCATGTCAGTATATTGTCTATGTACATGTGATGAGCAACCCATGCTGTTTTTTGTACTCATTCTAGTTGCAACATGTTAGCTGTTCAAATTACGTCTGCATCTGTGTGATCAGTGTTTCAGCATGTACTGTATCAGATTTGTAGCAATGATTATACAATACCTCAGTTATCAAAATCCTGAAAAAATAGTCAACTATCTGTTCTAAAAACTATTCTTCTATGGCAGCCACCCCCATTTGCTAATCATGCAAAATTGGTGCTAAACATAGAATGTTTTCATTCAGTATTTATAGCTTTCTGTAAGGTCGCACTGTTTAATTACATAACATTAAATAAGCGGGTTTTGCTTTGAGATAAAAGCCCTTATATGAACTGATTCAGTGCTGTTGTCAAAATCACCATAAAAGAAAGGTAGGACTCTTCCTAAACCCTTTGTGTAAAGAAGCTGATTTTTCAAGGTAACGTTTAACTTTGCAATATGATCCTGTCTTACAGTAGAGCTGTTTTCATTGGTCTCTGCTTGAAGCACTTTCTGAAATCTATAATCTGAAATCTTTGTTGCTAGCCTCTCTAAAGTGCAGGTAATTCATTTCAGTATGAATGTGAATTTAACACTGCACTTAAACCTCATTCATACTTTATTTTGGTCAATAAAGCCATATAATGTAACCACATAAAAACTGTCATTTAGTGAAACTCCATGGTCTGTTTCATGAAAAAAGAAACATTGCAGTACTGATGTTACTTGGCAAAATGATTAAGCATATATAAGACTTATTAAGTTCTAGGTGTGTTATGTACAATTTTGATTTAGTTCCACACTAGATGCACTATTTGCAAGCTGATGCTATCCATGTTTATTTTAACATGATTCACTGCTAGGAAACCATGCAGTTACTACTACACTGGGTAGCATCATTCACTTACCTCTGTGGGCATAGATTAGCTATTACACTGTACCAATTCATTTTTTCAATTGAGTGAAAACCATCAGAAAGCTAGGGAGCATTCTAAAGTATGTATTTTCCTGTATTTCCACCACCCTCTAGTGGACACATCGTTTTTGTACAATGCATCTGTCCCGAGAAGCTAAGACCAGCAGCACTCACAACACTTGGGCCACCCTGCAAGCCCTCCATTTCAACAGATCAGTAGGATCTGTTCAACCTTGTCTACCCTGTCCAAGACACCAAGTACTAGCTTTCTTACTGTTGCTGCTTCCTTCAGAAAGCAAATAGGGTTCTTGGTCCAGCTCCATAAAATAGACGCAGCAACAGTTCATTTTCAGTGCATTAGATAAGAGGCCAGCTTTTTGTTTTAGCATGCTAGTCTCATCTGTAGAAATGTGGGCTCCTAGTGGAGCAAAGATCTGTATAAGCCATTTGTCTTTTGCTGGTTTTGCTAATTCCTTAGCAATTTTGATAATTCCTTTGTACTAGTCCTGGGCACTAAATTAGCTGTGTTCAACTAATCTAACTTTTGGGAGTAAGAGATTAAATACAGATATCTGCTATAATATTCAGTCTGAGTATTCTTTTAATCCCTACAACTCTTATATTAAAATAAAATCACAAAACTGAGCAAAAGGTCTTTTATTTTTATTTCAATATACAAAGATCATGGCATAAATTATATACAAGTACAGACCTAAATGTGAGCTGGTACTTATGCCCCACCAATAACCCCATAGGAGTAAGATAAGAGCTCACAGTAAGTAAGCAACTATGAGTTAAATTAAATTTGATCTACTCAGAAACTATGTTTACTAATTAGGAACACTTATGACTTCAGATATATTAGCAGTCAACATTGCTACTCAAGAATTCCCTGGTTACCTCAAATAATCCTAGTGGTCAAGGAAGTCCGAAGAGATTCACATGAATCCTAACACATACATACATGTGTGCTGACACACTGATGCTGGATGAGATTCAATCTTCAAATGTAGAGCTGCAGACACATCAACCTTGCAAAAGAAAACAGAACATTAAGTTCAAGTTCCACAAGATTCAGCACTGCAACTCATGGACTTAGGTCTGCATAACCAAAGGAAAAGCTTTTGGCTTAACTAACATCCTGATTTAGAAACAGTGAAGGCACTCAAATGAACTTTGATAGTTTTCTACAAGCAGCTTTAATAGCACTGACCTTCAAGAACTACGCTAATGTCCAAATGATTCAACCTTAATATAATGTTTAACAATAATCTGAAACACTGTCATCTACACATGCTGGCTGTAAGGCTGGGTTTTGCTAGTTCAGACAGTAAAATCTATCTGGAAAGTGTACAAAAATGGGATTGAAACTGGATTATTTAGTGTGTGTGATCACAGCATAAAAGTAGCTTTTAGGCTGTTTGTACCAAGAAAGTATCCAAAGCAGTAATTCTCAATTTAGAGAATCCCAGTTCAGCTTTCACTGCTGAAAAATAAGACTCTGATGCAATGAAAAAATGACCACACATTGCAACAGCATTAATCAACTATTTGTAGACCACAAAGTCTCTCTCAAAGACATGCCCCTATAATGAGATTTTCATGATCCTGGTATTGTTGCCCATTACTCTTCCCCCTCCCCCCGGCGCGCGCCAAAACCAACGACATTCTGCGCCCACCACTCCCCCTATAGCGGTCGAACGCTACGGTCACGTGACTACGCGTCCTCCTTAACTTGGCACATGCGTTCCTGCCAAA